ATTACTCTATCCCCCCCCCCCTCCGGACATCTGGCCTCGCACTAACGACACCGGTTTTAAGATTTCTTACCTGTCAGCAAAAAGCTTGCGTTTTCTTTGTCATGAATATGACCAAATTTAGATGAAGATGAGACAGCTGAACGGTCAGACGGCAGTGACGATGAAGGTCATGATAATCAGTCAAATCCATCACAAGCCAACCAGCAGAAAGCAAAAGACAGCCCTGCGTCGGACGTGAGAAGTGAAAAGAAAACGAAGAAAAAGAAAAAGAAGAAGCGGAATAAGCATGATTCTGAGGGGCTGGATGATGATCAGCTTCTGGAACAATTGGCATCTGAGGTTTGCTGATACCCTTGTTTCCGTCAATTTTTCAACCCAACCATCACAGAATCAAGCGGCTGCGTCATCAACAGTGGAGAACGATGAGCCACTGGGAGTAGAACAAGTACTAAAACCTGATCCACGATTGTACGATGCAGCAGCTGAGCTGAAGAGAGCCATTGGCAAGGCCTTCAAGGTAGACTTCTTGTTGGATTGATCGACAACTTATTGAGTTGCATGTGCTACAATTGGTCCTATCGCGAAATTGAAAAGTAATAAGGTTATTTGAGGATTCTGCCCCATCCGTATCCAGCCGCTCTCATCGTTCATTCCATGGAGCTGGGAAAATTGTGAAGCAGAAGTATGGCTGGCCTCCAGTGAGGAATATTGGTAATGTCGAAGGACCTTGTTTGAGACCTCTTTCTGATGCTTTCCCTTCATCAGGTCTTTCGATGGAATTCGATAGAACGGAAGGCGAGATCAAATGGTTCAAATTCGTTCACAATGCTCACTATGAAGGACTGGAACGGTACGATCAAAAATTGCTTTTGCGCCTATAAGAGTTCGATAGCTTCATACTCTCATTACATTATAGGTTATGCTGGGTGTCTGAGGATTCTTTTGATCACGAGCTGATACAAGAAATAATAGCAGATAATCCCTATCATCTGAACTCCTTGTTGTTGTTAGCCAATGTATTTCGAATGCAGGAGGATATCACTGCTTCATGCGACTTTATTGGTGAGCTCAATTCGAAATCTGTACCTTTTGTAATGTACTGTAAAGTAAACTTCACTGTCTTGAAATCCTATTAGCTTTTATTTCCTCGTTTTTTCCTCATTTTGATATACCTAGTGGATTGATTATTGTTCTGACTGAAATCCCGAATTTGAAGAAAACTCGTTATATAGCCGTCTTATTTACTTAATCCTCAAGGATTTTCTAGAATTTTTCGAAATTTTAAAGCATCATTTCGGAAATGTTTCTACCCGCAACCCTTTTTCCGCTGGAAGACTTCCAATTACCTCGATTTTCAGAACGTGGTATCTTCTTCTGCGAACAATCAATGGCTAGCACATTCCAGCCTAGCTCTTTTTATCACCGAATAGACTACCTGGATTATGAGAATCGAGCCTTCTACCTTCTTTTGCATAGGCATATGCTCAACTGTGTCCACAAAAGGTAAGCGCGGGAATTTCTGAGAACTTCTGATACATTCTCTGTTGCAGATGCTTCGAAACTGCGCTCAATTTTGCGAAGTTGATCTTGACTATGGATCCACAAAGTAGGTTTTCAATAGTTCTAGGAAGGCGCTCATACTTGGAAACTTCTTTATTTTTTTATTTTCATGGAGGTGTGTTTTAGGAGATCCTTTGGCAGTTTTGTTGCTAATCGATACTATCGCTATCAAAGCCAAGCAGTACAAATGGTTAAAGGACTTTTACCGGTGTTGTAAGGTAGGCACTAAAGAAAACCATCCCCCGTGAACTAATGGCTGTCATCTGTAGGAATGGAAAAATTTGGATATGCTGCCAAACTTCTGCTATTCTATGGCGTTAGCGCAGTTTCTTGATTCCAAAACGGATGAAGACTTCATTGTTGCCGATGAAATGGTACTCTTCATCTTATCAGCGAATTCTAAGTATTACAGTTATTTCCAGCTTACGCATGCCATCTGTGCGTTCCCCGGAGTTATCAGCTTTTTGTTAGATAAAATGCAAGTCGAAGCGGATGCCACCGTTGAAATGCATCGGCACATGGGAACTATCGGTGCAAACAAGTAACCCATATTTTTACTCCAGACAAGGATGTGTTTATTAACTCTTTGTAGGGAGAATGATGGTTTGAAGCTAGTATTCAAAATGTACGTCAACGAAGCTGCTGAGCTATGGAAAGCTCCAGAAACTTTGTCATGGCTAGAGACGGTAACAAGAGACTGTGCACAAAATAAGGAATGCCAAGAGGAAATGGATAAGTGGAAGGAAAAGTGAGTGATTTGGAAAGTCATAGTTCTTTTGTTGATCTTTACTTAGTTGTTACACTTAACCACCTTTTGACATCCTTATCTATTTTGGTTTTTTGTCTCAGTACAGTGATTTTGGATTTGACTGTCTTATTTGGGTCGCTTTGGATCTTTTGAGATAAATTGGCTGTTGTTCAATGACTAATATTGGTAGCTGCAGTTTCAAATGAATGCAGTGTGGTTATTTTGTGCAGATTTTGAGTTTTACATAGACCAAGTTCGCCTTTTGTCTATGCTGCACGATATTCCCAGTCTTTTAACATTTTCCAATCATTGAACAATCTCCCCCGCAGTTTAGCGAAAAAATCCGGTTCGGACCTGTTCCATATTGCGGGATAAATGCAACCACATTTTCAGAATCACATCACTTTGTTTTTGTTTCTACATTAGTACAAAAATTAGTTCTTTTGATGGCTTATCGGTTCGTTTCCGGATACCGTCGAGTTCCTTGGTTAAATCATCACTTTTTCTTTTGCGAAACAGAGTTTAAAGAAAGGCCTTCTAGTTTTTTGTTTTCGTATCTACTATCTAATTATAAAAATAGGAGGCAACGCGTTTTCGTTGGTGCACCGCCAAATGTACGTCGGCTAGCAGTGCTGCTTGGTTTGGAGAGTTCGTCTTCGAGTGTCACCGACCCTGTGCCACCTGCGAATGGGCGAGCAAGGTATAATTATTACTTATTTTTTTCAGTGATTATCATTGACGATCTAGGTATACTCGACAACCGGTAAATGTACAGCGACCGGACAACTTCTTTTCGGGATTTCTACATTCGATTTTGCCGGATTTTGACAGTGTAAGTAATGTTGAATTGCTCTTCTCTTATGCCGAAGCTGTTCATTGCTTTTACTGACTTTGTCAAAAAGGGTAAAAGTTGATTCAGGAGGAACACCTTCTTGATGTCATACAACGTATGGGAAACCAACTGCAGCGAGTTGTTTTTCCGTCAGCTGCACCTGCTAATAACAACAATAATAATGAGCAACAACCACCTCCACAGGATGGTCAACCCCAGCCTTGAAATTTGTTGAAAACTGTGATATCTTCTTGAAGGTTTTCCTATAACTATTGGTTTTGGGTAATTCGTATAGCTCTGTATGATTGTAAAAAGAAATTTATTTTATAAAATAAACACACAAAACATTTAAAGGCACATTACAATTGATAACAATGTCAAAAATAACTAGTATTAATGCACAACCCGTTTACATTATATCTTGACATTTATCATCAGTGAACTACTACTAAACCTATCTCTTCAAATACAAAAGATGAAGAAAAACCTGATCAGTGCTGAAAACTGCGGAGATATGATTGATTCCTTCAAATAGTTAGTTACGAATGTGTCGTATCAAGTAGAAGTAAAAAACTGGAAGGCTTTGTTACTCGCAAAAATTTTTTTT